GTGGTGGCGCACACCCGTAGTCCGTTACTTGGGAGGCTGAGGCAGGAGGATCGCTCGAGCCCAGGAGTTTGAGGTTGCCGTGAGCTAGGCTGGCCCCACGGCACTCTAGCCCAGGCAAGAGAGCGAGACTCTGTCTCAAAAAAAAAAGAAAAGAAATTTATTTAAATTCTGACACTCTTTCTTTGTCTAAACCTTAAAGCAAAACGAGATTTCTATAGTTGAAAAGAGATGCTTCTGAAATATGTCCAACATAAACTTAACTACTGGCAGATGAAGGTATTCAGATGGATGATCATGTGAAGGGTTCTCTTCAGAGTATCGACTTGTAAATTTCTGTTTGGGACTAACTGAAGGTTTTTTTGTTCTTTGTCAGGTCCAATAAAACACTGGCTGATTCTCTGGATAATGCGAATGACCCCAGTGATCCCATTGTAAACAGGCTGCTGCGCTCTATGGCGACGCAGGCTATGTCCAATGCACTGTACTTCTCCACTGGAGCCTGTGCAGAGGAAGAGTTCCATCATTATGGTGAATGACACAGCTTCCCTACGTGTGGCTGTAGCTGAGCAAGCTGTTGAAAAGGAATTTTTTTGTTGTTGATTTTGATCTTTCGGTTTTCTTTTTGAAGGTCTTGCTTTAGATAAATATACCCACTTTACTTCTCCAATAAGAAGATACTCAGATATTGTAGTGCACCGATTGTTAATGGCAGCCATTTCAAAAGATAAAAAAATGGAAAGTAAGGAAAATTTGTTCAGCAACAAAGATCTTGAGGAATTATGCAGACATATCAACAACAGAAACCGGGTAAGGAATTTTAAAATCCTTATTCATCATCTCTGCTAGGAGAGTATCAGCTTCATTGTGTAGTGGAGCGAAGTATCGTGTATTCTCACAAATTAAATTATAGAGTATTCTAACAGGTACCTTCAATACGTTTACAGATGTTCCGAGGTAACGTATGGATTTGAGATTTGATGATAGATTATTTTTCCCAAAAGGTGGAAATGGAAAGGTTCAAGCAACACAGAAAGATATGAAGACAGAAAGATCATCTATGCTCTTACCACCCAGAGATAACCATTATTGACAATTCTAGACAACGCTAACATTTTTATTTATAAAAATATCATTCCTCCTGTTTGAAATCTGCTTTTTTCACTTAACACATCTGTTACTAATAGCACGCCATGTCAATAAATATAGTCGTATCGTTATTTTAGAAGCTGCTTTGTATTCTATTTCATATTATTACTAGTTGCTACAAAATTGCCCAGCATAGAACTAGACTGTTGGGTGGTGCGGAAAATGAGAAACTACTTATTTAATGTAATTTTCTATATCCAGTGGTCTAGTTTTCTGGTGTGCAACATTGTAGCCATTAGCCATGTGGGCTATTTAAATTTAAATTTAAATTAGAAGTAGAAATTCAGTTCCTAAGTTACACTAGCCACACTTCACATTCTCACTGGCTACTCGTGTTTAGTGCCTACCTATCAGGCAACACAGATACAGACGTTTCCATCGTTGCAGAAAGTTTTGTTGGGCAGAGCTGTTCTAAGCAATCCAGTTTACAACCAACCTTGTGTATATACTTTCAAAGACTTCTCAGATGATTGCCTGCATAAGTAAATTCCTAGAAATGGAATTACTGAGCCAAAAGGTATTCACAAATAAACTTGGATACATATTACTAACTGTCCTCCTTAACAGTAGTGCTAATTTATGCTTCCAATAGGATTTCGGTAGGACAGGCTTGAAAGGAAAGAAAGGTAAGACATATGTGTGTTACTTTTCCTGTACCCAAAATGGACATATCCCAAATTTGGCAACCTCTATTTTGATTAACTATAAAACAAGTTTCATTTTATAGAAGTATTCATATTCCAAGACATTTTTGAGGGTGTAATACTGGATGGCCCACAAAAATTGATTTAATTCATAATATAGAACGGTTTTTATATTAATAGTTTTATAGGATCTAACTTTTTTATCATGCTTGTCACAAGTGGCTTTAGCCCTTTGCACTCGGATGTCGAGTGTGGATAGTGAGAAAAAAGCAAGCGAGTGCAAAGGGTTAAAAAAAAGAATCTTATCTTTTTAAAGACGTTGTTTCTGTGGGAATATGAACTTCGTGTTTCTCCTGGAAATGTCAGGGAAGCCTGTTATAATGCTTTGGGGTTACGCTTACAGGCAGCACAGCATTCTCAGAAGCAGTCTACTGAACTCTTCCAGTGCATGTACTTTAAAGACAAAGACTCTGAAACTGATGAGCGTTGCATATCTGATGGAGTTATTTATTCAATCAGAACAAATGGTGTACTTGTATTTATACCAAGGTATGTTCCACCTAATGCAATGGTAAGAAATCATAATTAAACTAAAAGTGTAGAATACAGACATTTGATTATTTAAGCAACTATTTATAAAGTTACCGCATGTATAATTTGACTTATTTAAGCAACTATTTATAAGGTTACCACACGTGCATAATGTATAATTCAGTATATAAGTGTGAAGTATGAGATTGGAGTACATATATATGTACATCTCTATTAATCTTAGGATTTTACTTTCTTAACTAGGAAAATATTTTGTGTTTCCATCTGCTAAGGGGAAATAAATATTTGGAGGTAAACCACAGGAAAAGTGATTTTGTTTTTAATCCAGAAGAAAAACTAGCATTTTTAGATAAGTATGTATGGTCTGCATACTAAGAAAACATTATCTCTGTGGATTTCTATTCCGGCAATGATTCAGGTTTGGGATTAAAGGTGCTGCTTATCTAAAAAATAAAGATGGTTTAGTGATCTCATGTGGCCCAGACAGCCATTCTAAATGGAAACCAGGATTTCTTCAACGATTTCAAAACAAAATTACCTCTACAACAACAGGAGGGGAATCTGTTACGTTCCATTTGTTTGACCATGTAACAGTAAGTCTGTATTTGTATTAAGTATCGTTTTCAATGTAAAGAACAAAGAATGTGATGTAGTAATATGTATTTTCTCCTCTGTGGCAGGTAAGAATATTTGTACAGGCCTCACGTTGCCATTCTGATACAATCAGACTTGAAATAATAAGTAACAAACCATACATGATACCAAATACAGAACTTTTTCATCAGAGTTCCCTCTTGCTGAAGAGCGAGTTAGTGAAAGAAGTAACTAGATCTGTGGAAGAAGCTCAGCTTGCCCAAGAAGTCAAAGTAAACCTCATTCAGGAAGAATATCAAGAATATTGCCAAACAAAGGGAAGAAGCCTATACACACTTCTAGAGGAGATAAGGGACCTAGCTCTCCTGGATGTTTCAAGCAATTATGGAATATGAAATACTCTTACTGTATTAAAAGAGTTTTTTCGTACGTGAATGTTTTACCATGTTTCAGACTTCAATTTTTTGTCACTCAGTGCTCTAGTTGATCAGGACTGGGTAGCTATTTCTTACGTGTACAATGTTCTCAGTCAGTAAAGTTGCATTAAATGTGTGATTAGGTCATTATAGAAACTGATTTTTCAGTTAAGAGTAGACGGTGAATGGTGGCTCTGCGAGGCAGGTTGCTAGCCTCTTTTTAAAAAGCTCAGAATTTTTGGTTTTCCTGTCTCAAATCAGCTCTTTCAAAGTAAGTTTTATTTTTCCAGTAATTGCTACACGGGGCCATCTGGGGCGTAGACACCTCTGATGTTTGTCCAGTAAGTTTTCAGTAACTTTCAGATAAGACTTAGACCTGTCCCCTCACCCACTTTAAAGCTCCGGTTTCATATTTGACTCGAGCTTTCCCTGCTGTCCCCAGCACCAGTTGGGAATGGGGCAAAAGGAGCATAATGGGATGCACAGGGAAGCTGTCTCAAAAGTCCTTCTCATCCTCCCATTTTGTTGAGAACTCCTCAGATGATGAGGTGCATTGGCCTCTCCCTTGTTGGAAACTTGTTACTTTGCCAGGAAACTCATCACCAACAAATTAAATCTGTCACTTCTGTCTAATCCAGTTCATGAGGGAGAATAAAACCCTGAACAGGCCCTCCTAAGGAAGCAGTTTCTCTAGGCCTTTGTTGTACCTTGAAACTGGGCTCCATCTTCTAGCTGATTCCCTGTTGGCAGCAATAAGCTACAGTCCTCTGGAAGCACATGCCTCCTGGCCCATCATGATGGCAGTTCCCAGCAAGTCCACAGCCCCCATTCCCCATGTTCTTGTGCTCAACTTCCTGGCTTTTCAATCAAACCATCTTTGTCGCTCTATCCCCACCTGAAGTCAGAAAGCCTGAAGAGAACAAGATGCCTGTATGTGCTGGCTTTGTGGATGGAAGCCACTCTACACCATCACTTCCCCTTTTTGCCAAGGGAAGAGAAGAAGGTGAGAGCCTGTCCTTACAAAGGCTAATCTTACAAAAGTTAACCTTCCCCGTCTCCTCCTTTGTAAAAACTAGCTTAGCCTTTCCCCTCCCCTCCATGGTAATCTGCCAAGAACCAGACTTTCTTTAAACTTGGTTGTCAACATGGCATTTCTCAACTGTAACTACCCCCTCCACCAGGCAGGAAGAGCTCCAATACGGTCCTCTCGCCATCTGGCCCTAACACCTCTAGCCGTATAGGCACCATTCCCAAGTCTTCCTTATTCCTTAAATCTTTATATTATTCTTGTACACGTCCTTCCCAGTACTTTTCCCCATGATACTTTGCAAGTTTCTCTCCAACTAGTGGGAAAGGTACCAAGGAGCCTTCTTTGAACTTCCCTAGAACCTCTAAGGGCCAGACAATATTTCAGTCTTTTATGTGACCTTTTAAGTATTAAAGTGACTCCTCAAAATACATAAACCTTAAACATTTGCCAAAAGTGTAAACTGCAGAACTAAACAGCAATGAGAAACTTTCATAAAGCCTCTAGAGACAGTAGGTAAGACAATTTTTATTTTTACTTTTTAAAAATGGATTAACATTCAATATATATTTATATCTTAAAATATCACCCAACTTAGTGAAAACAAGGCATTCAATGACACACTAGCAACAGAAGCTGTTTATTAACTACTAATCATTTTATGAAATGGTATCTATGCAAAAATAAACACTATAGAGAATAAATAGATTTCAGTTAATAAGTGACAAGTATAATTATAAATAAATACCAGGTTTCTAGTAGGAATCTGCAAAAAGGTTTACTACCTAAGGATTTTCACTCAAAGTAGATAAAATGCACAGTAATCCCAACCTTGCAAGATAGCAAGTTAACAGACACATTTTCTCTTACTGGAGGACTATCCAACCTCAGTAAGATTTCTGGATAAAACATAAAGCTACTACAGCACATTTTAAAAGGATTGGTCCAATTGAGTTTCCTCTAATTTTAATTCCTCCTCTTCATTTAAAGTATTAGCAGGAACATCATTATGTGGATTGTCCAGAATGTCTTTGTTTAGTCCATTTGACTCCTCCTTTTGATCCTCACCAGTATGAACCTCTTCAACTATCTGTGCCTTGGGTGTGTTCATTAACATGTCTGAAAGAGAAATCATATTATTACTCATGATAAGCACCTAATCCAATCCTACCTCAGAAATACAAATCTCTTAAAAAGCTTAGATTAATAGAGATGAAATCTATTATCACTTAGTGTTAACTATCACTTTCTTCTAAATAAACCTATTTTTTTTATAGTATTTCCACTTAAAAAGCAAAAGAGTCTTGCATGGTCTTAAACTCAAACCCTCAAATCATACTAAAATATAACTGTTCTCATTCAAAATCAGAGCTACTAGAAAGATTATTTAAATAATCAAATGCACCTAACGGTTTTATGTCAAAGTGACCTACAGTAAAGAAAATTTAAGATACTAATTTCCATTTGGGCAAATTTTAATTTGTATATTACAAATAGAGGGTGAGCCTTAAATACCAATTGCCAGGTATACTTGATACTGACAGCAAGGAAGCCACTATTATTGTCCATCAACAATAGTCATATTTTCATGTAATTTTTTAGATGTTAGTAATAAAACATCCATTTGTAAAGATAAAAATTCATTTTAATTAAAAAAGTCATGATAATGCAGTCAATAATTTTCACTTGAGCATTTTACTGGATGAAACTTATTTTTAAAACATGCTATCTATTAACTCTTATTTGCCCATTTTAAAAGGAAAAACTGGATTAGAAATGGAAAAAGACATATACAATCCTGCCTGCTTCATTCAAAACCAACTTGCAATTCTTTTTTTTTTTTTATTTTGGCATATTATGGGGGTACAGATTTTAAGGTTTCAATAAATGCCCATTTCCCCCCCTCCCCCAAAAGTCTGAGTCTCCATCATGACCATCCCCAGATGGTACACATCTCACTCATTATGTATGTATATACCCGCCCCCTCCCCCCTCCCCCTCCCTGCAATTCTTTTTAAATATAGTTTTACAAACTCAGTTTCCAAACCAGTCTGTTTTAAAAATAGCAATTTAAGTGAGAAAGGAATACTACAGATAAGCAAACAGCCACAAAATGCACCTCACAAGAAAAGTGACACACTAAAAACATTTTAGAATCTATTCATGTCATAATAAACTACTAAAATCCTCAATTGGTGCAGAAGACATTTTATATGTTTAGGAAATTATCATCATATAAATTTTCACAGGCTGGGCGAGGTTGGCTCATGCCTAGCACTCTGGGAGGCCAAGGTGGGAAGATCACTTGAGGTCAGGAGTTTAAGACTAGCCTGAGCAAGAGTGAGACCCTGTCTCTATTAAAATAGAAAAAATTAGCCAGGCAACTAAAATAGAAACAAAAAATTAGCAGGGCATGGTGGTACATGCCTGTAGTCACAGCTACTCAGCAGGCTGAGGCAGAAGGATTGCCTGAGCCCAGGAGTTTGAGGTTGCTGTGAGCTAGGGCTGACACCATAGTATTTAGCCCAGACAACAGAGCAGACTCTGCCTCAAAAAGAAAAAAATTTTTTAAATAATACATTTCATAATTATGATCCTAAATATAATGTTACATGTTACATGCTTTAAGGAATCAGGGAAGAATTTATTTTTTTGAAGGATGTAAACTCAATCTTAAATGATTAAAATAATTTTAAGAGGTACTCAGCTATCCAGAAAATCCCTGGACTCATTTGTTCTTTGAGGATTCCAAATAGCTCACACACACACACACACACACACACGCACGCACGCACGCACGCACGCACTCGCTCTCTCTCAAATATACATACACTTAACACTTTTCTATTCCTAGAAGTATTTTATTTTGGGGGATAGTAAAGAAGTTAAAATTTCTAACATGCCCTTGATATGTTAATAGTAGCACACAAAACCCAGTATAACATTTACCATTTCCTGGGGACTGACTATTACTCAGTAGCTTTGCCTGCCTTCTTTCCAAGGCCAGTTGTTTATTTCTCTCAATTCTTTGTTGTTGCTCTTCTGTTAGGTTTCTACTTGACTCAAAAGCAAACTTCTCATTTTCAGATGAGGTTGTCAAAAAGGGATCTAATTCAGTAGCAGTTATATCATGGCTGTTATTTTCCCCTATGTCATCTGTAGTAGAAAAGAAAAAGTTAAAACATCTGTAGTGTTAGACTAGTTAAAGAACTATAAAAAAAAAAAGAACTAATGCAGCTTTTAAATAAATAACAGTTAAAAGTGGCAAGGTCCCAGACCTGAAGAAACAATTTATGAGGTATGAGAGTGTTGTGTACAAGGTCTGCCCAGAAAGTATCCAGCCATTGTTTATACTGTGTATCGAGAATGGTTTGCATGACATCGATGTAACATGGCAGCCAAGGAGAGTAGACTGGAATGCACATGCATGAACAATGATGACTTCACTATACTAGTCAGTGGGGGGTGTTGGATGCCATTGAGGGAGCATGTGTACTGTGTGGCTGTTACATTCAAAATGACTGAGCACCTTTGCCGCACTACTGCACTTGACTAGTCCTAAAAAAAAAAAATATGACTGAGCTAGAGCAACAAATCTGCATCAAATTTTGCATTAAGCTTAAACGTTATTCCACAGAAATTATTCAGGTGATTCAGAAGGCTTTCAGGAATAATGCAATGAGTGCAATGCAAAGAATGCCTCAAAGATGGTCAAGAATCTGTTGAAAGTGATCCATGTTCTGGAAAGCCTGTAAAAAGCAGAACACCTGAGAATGTTGAACATGCACAGGTTAAGAGATACTGGGAGTACTGTGTGAGGTCCCAAAGTGCCTACTCTGAAGGGGAATGAAGTGTCATTGTCCTACGTACAATGTTTCTTGTATATCTTATTGTTGTTGTTTCTTATATCTTCAATAAATGTCTCTGTTTTTCATATTACGTGGCTGGATACTTTCCGGGCAGATTTCATATATAGGCTTGATTCAAATAAAGAAATATTTATAAATCACTTTAAAGGGGGAGGTTAAGTTAAATGGAAATACTATCAAAAATAAGCATGATGCATCCTATCCCATGGCTGTAGATAAAAAAAAAAAAAAAAAAAAAATAAGCATGGGCTGCGCGCAGCAGCTCATACCTGTAATCCTAGCACTCTGGGAGGCTGAGATGGGAGGATTGCTTGAGCTCAGGAGTTTGAGACCAGCCTGAGCAAAAGCAAGACCTTGTCTCTACTATAAATAGAAAGAAATTAGGCAAACAACTAAAAACAGAAAAAATTAGCTGGGCACAGTGGTGCATGCCTGTAGTCCCAGCTACCCGGGAGGGTGAGGCAGGAGGATTGCTTGAGCCCAGGAGTCTGAGGTTGCTGTGAGCTAGGCTTACGCCATGGCACTCTAGCCCAGGCAAGAGTGAGATTCTGTCTCAAAAAAAAAAAGCATGAGAGGAAAAGTTCTTAGTTATGATTAGAAATATTTTATGCTTGAGCTAATAAAAGAGCTTATAGAATCCAAACCATATTCTTGTTCTACACTAAACTAACATGTTTTAATTGCCTGCCATAGTTGTCTATATGGTACACAGTAATAGTTTTATACAGGCCATTATCTTTTGTAGGGCAAAACACAATGAAAAAGGAAAAGAAATTTAGAAATCTGTAGACATATTTCCAAGTTAATTTTTCAAAAAAAGAAATCAGTTCTCTCTATATTATTAGTATTAAGAAATTCTTAAAGCCTTGCATACCAGTTACCTCAAAGTAGGATGTCCCCAAAATGATCCACAATGATATAGAAAGGACATTACATTTTCCACTTATATTTCATTTAAGAATTAAGAAAAATTAAATTTTACTAACATATTTAAATAAGAACTGGCAATGAAGAACTGTTGTCCTTACGACAGACTTATTGTCTGGTCGTGAGCTACTTTATAGGCAGCACCACACTGGAAAGATGGGAGAATGGGGACTTCATTTTTTAATTTCAGACATAACAGCTATTTCTGATTGTCCAGTCAAGTAAACTGACAGATATTATCTTATTTTGACCAAACAATGCCAACAAAATGTATCAGTCACAGCTAAAAAGATTCTGCAAAATAACAAAATGCCTACTGGTAGAATAGAAGCACAATTGAGAAATATGAAAATGGCAGAACTGACACTTCACCTTCTCTCTACAATCATCCACGTTATGGGATTTAAAAAAATAAAGCCCATGGGATCTGACAAGTTGGTCAAACAATTCAAACCACCACTTGAAATATGAATTTATATTATATATACTATCCTTGTCCTATGTATATATTATACCTTGAGATATTAGCTAAATATAGTAATAAAATTATCGCAATTAGAAAAACATTTAAACCTTTACAACTATTTCAGTGAGATTTAAAAATCATGATACTTAATCCAACCCTTTACAACCGAACCCCCTTTTAAGGTTTATTCCTTAACAGTGAAAGACGAAAAGCCAGACACTTTTCTTCCGTGATGTGGAAAAAAGAATGTAGCAAAAAAGTAAAATTCATTCTTTATATCATGTATAATTCTATATGTGCTGGTAGAGTCCATGTAGAAAACATTGCTAGAGAAGTTAAGAAATAAGTATTAGAACTAATTATGAAATATATAGGATTTTTCTTTTTTTTTGAGATGGGGCCTCACTATGTTGCCCAGACTGGTTTTGAACTCCTGGCCTCAAGCCATTCTCCCACCTCAGCCTACTGAATAGCCAGCTGGGATTGATTATAGGCATGAGATACCACACTCAGCTCTATATGAGTAATATATATGCTTTACCTTACAGGATTCTGAATCAATAATAACAAAATACATAAAGAACTAAAAAAAAAGAGATACCTTCAATAGTAAATGACTATTGCTTTTTAAGCCACAAAAAGAAAGGTATCTTCAATAGTAAATGACCTCTTTAATATAAGGAATGCTTTTTGAAAGTAGCAGCAGCTTGTCCCTTTAGGATAAATATGAGATTAAAAAAAAAAAAAATTAGGGCTCAGTATGGTGGCTCACGCCTGTATTGGGAGGCCAAGGCAGAAGGATCACTTGAGGCCAAGAGTTTGAGACCAGCACAGCAATGTAGACCTCCCCAAAACCCCAACCCCCATCAAAAAATAAAAAGCCTATACCAAAAAAAGAGAACACAACTCAGCCAGTGTGGTGGCCGGCACCCATATGCTGAGGAGGGAGGATATAGCTTGAGCCAAGGAGCTCCAGGTTACAGTGAGCTATGATCGCACCACTGCACTCCAGCTTGGGCAAGAGTGATTCCCTGCTCAAAAAAGAAAAAAAGAAAGAAAAAGATAGCAAATAAAATATACTCCAGAACAAGCATCTCTGATTTAAGACTCTTGTATGTTTCCTGTATTTTAGCATGTTTGTAATTCCCTTGATGGTCCATGTTAATTTATGCCTCTGCATAAGCAGCTCCCTATATCCAAAATCACCTCTGCCCGACCTCTACTGCTTATTATTCAAAATACTTGTTACGTCGTCTATGAAGCTTTCCCCTCCTCTAGGTAGAAGTATGTGCTCCTTTGTACCCCACCCTGTTCCCTAGTCATGCCTCTAATAACACCACATATCAGACTACTGGCAATGTTATATGTCTGACTCACTAGTCTATTAGCCTATATCTTACCAAAAAATTTAAATCCTGGATTATTTAAATCACATTCCTTCACCCTTTTAAAAGCAATTTATAAATAACTTTGGGGGATTCTATACAGAGCCTATATTTTCTACCACATCTAAAGTTAAAAAAACAAAAACTTGTATGGAGCCATCGCACAGAAAATCTGATAACTATACAGACCCTGTCGGCAGGAACCATGTATTTTGATGTGTGTGACTGTCTATGGTTGCACTGTACAACTAACAATGCAATCAATACCAGGAACAGTCACATAGGTCTTACTAAAGTTCTATATCCAAGATCTGTACTCTAAGTGAAACTTCCATCATTAAAATATTCTGGCAAATTTCACAAGGCTATGTATATGAACACCGTATCTTGATATTTATTTTTATTAACAAGCACTATAAAGGATCAATGGGTCACCAGAGCTCTCAAAAGCTCATATCCTATGCCTAAATATATTTTTACAACATCTCTAAAGGCACTGCAGCCATGTCTTTAAGATGCAAATTTTATACACAACATTCTAGATGTACCAATGCATTTTAATGCATTCCTATTTACTGCAATTTAATTATATACACAATATAAGAAAAGGATCCAGTCCTATAATACTGCCTACCCTAACTAGACCCATTTCTAAAAGCAAAATTGTTATAAAGCAGATAAACCTAAATTCTTACCATCATTGCTAACAAAATCTTCATGTACAATAGGGAGATCAAGCCGAATTCGTTTTAAACAGGTCTGAAATAAAGAGATATTTTCACATTTTTACCAATAATGTTAGATGGGGAATGGTCATTTATTCAACTTTTAGTTTCAAAAGAGTTGCTCTTCAAATAACTACTATTATTTTTCCCTCTCTACCGAGACAGATTTCAAAATGAAGAGTCCAAACAGCACTTTAGCCTCAAGTAAGTCTATCCTTGCACCATTTAACATTGTGAATGATATTCATAATAATCTCAACACTTACCTGAACTTCCTTTTTATTTCCCAGGTATTCAATTCTGTCAATAAAATCCTCAAATTGCAGTTTAGGGAATAGCCTATGTGCCCAGTGCTCCATGTGTCTGATTAGCGTCTTTAAGTCTTCAGCCTGGCACACAAAAATAAAAATGCTAAACAGAAGATTCATTCTCACAACTAACCCTGTCAGCAAGTTTCAGAATTGGAAAGCAATGCCAAAGTCACTGGTGTCATTTTATATTTATAAGGCTGAAAAACTTTCAGAAAGAAGTTTAATAAGAAAACTATTTAGTAAAGTCTTAGAGGATTGCAGTCTAAAAGAACACTGGATACAGATATTTAAAAATCAGAGGAATAAGTCCCAATATGAAAGCTTAATAAAGTTAAAAGATAATGTGTGCCTTTTCAGAAATACAGTAAAACCCCAAAACAGGCCTTAATAAAATATGTCAAGATATCTTCTAGGAAAAACTGAACACTATGACAGGTCCCTAAATCTTATACAGAGAAATAAGCATCGGGAATTCAGAACTTTAATAGGCTGGGCCCGGTGGTTTACACCTGTAATCCTAGCACCCTCTGAGGCCGAGGCAGGCGGATCAGCGGATCACTCAAGGTCAGCAGTTCAAAACCAGCCTGAGCAAGAGCAAGAGCCCGTTAAAAAAATAGAAAGAAATTAATTGACCAACTAAAATATATAGAAAAATAAGCCGGGCATGGTGGCACATGCCTGTAATCCCAGCTGCTCAGGAGGCTGAGACAGAAGAATCACTTGAGCCCAGGAGTTTGAGATTGCTGTGAGCCAGGCTGACGCCACAGCACTCTAGCCCAGGCAACAAAGTGAGACTCTGTCTCAAAAAAAAAAAGAGAGAGATACAATGAGGTACACCAGCACGATGGCTCACGGCTATAATCCTAGCACTATGGGAGGCTGAGGTGGGAGGACTGCTTGAGCTCAGGAGTTAGAGACCAGCCTGAGCAAGAGTTAAGACCCTGTTTCTACTATAAATAGAAAGAAATTAGGCAAACAACTAAAAACAGAAAAAATTAGCTGGGCACGGTGGCGCATGCCTGTAGTCCCAGCCTGTAGTCCCAGGCTGAGGCAGGAGGACCGCTTGAGCCCAGGAGTTTGAGGTTGCTGTGAGGTAGGTTCACGCCATGGCACTCTAGCCCAGGCAACAGAGTGAGATTCTGTCTCAAAAAAAAAAAAGATACAATGAGGATGGGTGCGGTGGCTCACGCCTGTAATCCTAGCACTCTGGGAAGCTGAGGCAGGCAGATTGCTCAAGGTCAGGAGTTCGAAACCAGTCTGAGCAAGAGCGAGACCCTGTTTCTACTAAAAATAGAAAGAAATTAATTGGCCAACTAAAAACATATAGAAAAAATTAGCTGGGCATGGTGGCACTTGCCTGTACTCCCAGCTACTCGGGAGATTGAGGCAGGATTGCTTGAGTCCAGGAGTTTGAGGTTGCTGTGAGCTAGGCTAATGCCATGGCACTCTAGCCAGGGCAACAGAGTGAGACTCTGTCTCAAAAAAGAGAGAGACAATCAATGATGAGTGATAGTATCTGTAAAGCATTCTGAGATTCCCAAGAATATAATGGGCCCACAGTTTTATTGCTATTTAAAAAAACAGAAGTCTAAAATAAAAATAAGACATTTCTTACCTCATGACCTTTACCTTTGAATTTTGCTTTATCAAACAAATTCCTTAAGGCTGGAAGCCCTCTCTCTGAAATTAATCTGTGAATAGAAATATGTTTTGAATTTCAAGTTTTTTACAGTCAAGTCCAAACCAAGACTAAGAAGAAAAAATATTTTCTGCTGAATTAAAAATATGTTTTTAGATATGTCAGATCTCCAAATCATCCAAACCTAAACTTAGTAACAGAAGAAAAACAATAGATGTAAATAGAAAGTATAAATGTATAAGGAAATAGTAAATGTACCTCTGAGCATCCAGCTTGGGTATATTCCTTTTAACTGTTCTCTTTGGAGGTACAGGAACAGGGGCCCCATTCCCTGACAATGGTGAAACACATCAAGATTCAGTATTACTGTACTTAAAATAATTTAAGCCTTTTAATGTATCATTTCCAAGCTGACAGAACTTAACAAGGAAAACTTTTTTGAAACTCTCTATACAGACCTTCATCAGGTTCAGCTCCTTCACCATCTTGTCTCTCCGGAGAAGCTGGAGGTGGGAAAGGAGGAAAAGTTTCATCTTCTGTATGTTCATAATCTGGTAGGTCAATCATGCCATTCTCCTGTGGTTCTAGCATCTTTTCCTCTAGGCGGAAAAATGTAAAATTATTTTTATTCATCCAAATAGCCTTCCTATTTCAGTCAAGTTTCACCTGCAGCAAAATTAGTGTTTCAACTCGTCAAACCACATTTCAGCCAGGCATGGTGGCTCATGCCTGTAATCCTAGCACTCTGGGAGGCCGAGGAAGGAGGATTGCTTGAGCTCAGGAGTTCAAGACCAGCCTAAGCAAGACTAAGATCCCATATGCACAAAAAATAGAAAAAATTAGCCAGATGTGATGGTACGCTCCTGTAGTTCCAGCTACTCGGGAGGCTGAGGCAGGGAGATCACTTGAGCCCAGGAGTTTGAGGTTGCTGTGAGCTAGGCTGATGCCATGGTACTCTAGCACTGGCAACAGAGTAAGACTGTCTCAAAAAATAATTTAAAAAACAAAAACAACCCCCCCCACATTTCAAACTCATGCATCATGAAAAGTAGGGAAGATACTAATTATAAGAAAAAGGACCAGGCTAGAAATCAGAAGAATGGAGTTCTAATGTAGACCCTACCACTAAGAAACTATACGATTTTAGACAAATCATTTTACCTCAACTACTGAGCTCTTCCTACTAAAAGGATGAATTTGACTTTCAGAGGGTTTCAAACTGTGATCCATAATGGTGTGAAATAGACAGGGTATAGGTACCTTATCCCTGCTTCAACTAGAGCAGCTTTTTAAAAAATATCTGTTTATCTATTGGTCTTCTATGTAAGGTTTCCTTTGAATGGAAAATTATCCTCAGGTTGGTAATTCTAAAGAACATTTTTTCAGTACTATCTTACTTGACCTCTCAGTAATAACACTGACACTTTTGGTCAATCCTTTTTTCTGGAAAAAATGTTTTCCTTGACTTCTAAAATACAGTACCCACCTGGCTTTCTTCCCTTTCTTTACACTCCCTCCTCTTGGATCTTCTTTGCAAGTTCATCTTCTTCTAACCTGGCTGTTAAGTATCAAAAATTCCATCCTAGGCTCTCTTCATTCATTTATGCACATGGCTTTAATAATCAGTTATTTATAAATGACTGATTTTTATCTCTATCCTAGTCCTTGACTGAGCTCCAGATCCCTACTTTCATTTTTACACCTCTTCAATGCATCAAAGGCATCTATAACCCATCATGTACAAAACCAAACTTCTAACTTTTCCAATTCGGTGAATGACATTTATCCAACTATGCAAGTGGTGCTGTGAACTGTATGAAACCTGTAAGTCATCTTTGATACTTCCTTCCCCCCTACCCCACAGATCCTGTCCATTTCCTAAAAATCCCTTGAATCTGTCCATTTCTATTTCCATAACCACTTCCCAACATTTCTTGCTTAGGTTACACCATTACTCCCATCCACTCTTGCCTCCTTCAATCCAGTCTTCATATTACAACTAAAGTGAATTTTCGAAAATGTAAAGCTGATCACATGACTTGGCTAAGTAGTTCAATGGCTTCTGATTGCTCTTAAGATAAAAACTCCAAGGCCCTTTGTGACCTCTTCCTACTACTCCAGCATCACTCCACACCACTCTACTTTTTCTTTCTTTGAAAGAGCTGTATTTCTCAGGCCACTGTATCTCTGCAAATGCTATTTCCTGTCTTGAAAGCTCTTCCCTGACACCTACTTCTCAATTATCACCTCCTCAGAAAAGTCTACCCCAATCTACACAAATTAAATCCTCCTTTAATAAGCATTTATAGTATCAAGTACAAGTTTCACAGCACTTATCCAGTCTCAATATTAGGTTTTATATGTGTGGTCAGTTCGTCTCCCATACTAGAGAACAGCTCCACAAGAGCAAAGACCAGGTAGGTAGGTCTCTTTGTGCTCCACAGCTGTATCCTCAAGGCTGGTACACAGCAGGTGCTCATTATGTATTTGTTGAATGAGGGAATGCAATAAAGGAATTCTAAGGCTTCCCCCAAATTGGAGTAAGATGATCTCTAAAATTTCTCCAATTCTGCATTTTTATGACTGTAAGTACATAAGAACAAAGAATCAATTCCTGATGATGACGACATGGTATCTTTAAGTAACCTACAAGAAACAGATTTTTCAATTTTGGAAAAACAATTAGAGGCCACATAATCTAAAGCATCATAGCTTCCTAGTGGGAAGAAGTGAGGTTCAGACCTTTGAGGCCGACAGGGAGCTTTGAGTTTGATAGAGCACAAATTGTGACAAGTGTAGCAAGGAACTGGCCAAGCACGGGGTGGGGCTGGTCGGTGAACTGGTTTTTCTTAGTACTTGTAGTGAATAAGATGTTTAATATACTTCACTCCTTGACAATGGCCACATAACATTTATTTAGACATTGATGAAATTGTCTTAACTTCCTCCTCTAGTCTTCAAACTCCCAGAGTGAAGGTAACAAATTTAACATCCAAACCACAGTTAGTCTCCAGACCTTTCGGTTTCCAATGTCCAACTATTTCCAACTGTCAAAACCGAAGCCCCTCGTCGCAAAGTTAGTTCCACCAGGCTGACCCGACGTCCCCCTTGGGTGCCACCCCTAAAAACCTCAAACCGCCCATCCCTCCTCGCCAACCTTCTCCTCATGCTCGCTCCCCTGTCTACCCGCTCTTCAACCTCATTCATTCATTCCATATTCACAGGACGCTGTCCACGTCGAGACCCCACTGTACGGAAGGTGGGGATGTAAAGATACATCAGAAACACACTCCCTCCCGCTAACAGGCTCGTTTCGGTCAGAGGCAGCCGCGGCACCGCAACAGGAGGAAAACGTGCCGCCCCCTTTGGTCCAGGCCTCCCCTCCTCCCTAGTCTCGCTCCGGCCCGTCCGCCTGAGTCCAGTCCTCTACCCCCTCACCCCTTCCCTGCGAGCCCTCGGCCTCCCAGTCTTCGGTCTGGCTACCTGGGCCGCCTCCGCCCTCCAGAACTCCACTCACCTGCCAGCCGCTGTCACCTCACATACGCCGCAGCCGCCCCCCAGCCGCGCGTGGCGTGTGAGCAAACCGCGCTTCTCGCGAGACTCGGAAACTCCCGCCACGAGAAGAGCCACAGCGATTGGCGCCAAATCTGCGTGCGGTGTGGGCGGTGCCTGCAGGACCCGCCTCCCCCGGTCCCGCCCACCCGCGCGCGTCCCCGCAGCGCCCGTCTGTGCGCGCCACCGGTCCCTCTGCTTCCGCCCTCTTGAGTTCCTCGGAGGAATCGAGTGTATTTGCATAAAGTTTATGTTTGTTACTTCTAGGCGCTTTCAACGTTGGAAATAGGTCTCGGCTTTTAGAAAACTGAGTTGTGGACGGAGTAAAAAGGAAAGAGGCAAGCAGCAGTGGATGAGAAGCTACCCCTTCTTCATAGTTAAAAGCAGAATGGTTTGAACGTGAAGAGTTTTAATGAGCTAAGGAAAGAGGTGGTAAAGAATTAGGATTAAGAATATAGATGCCACCCCAGCCTGGGCGACATAATGAGACGCTTCCTCTTTAAAAAATAAAAAAATGTAGACACAAAAATATCAAAAATGTTTTTTTCATTTCTCTAAAAAAGTGAGTCCAAATGTATTCGTATTTGTTTGCATTGACACACACACAAACTGGGGGAAAAATAGATAACTAAAACCTATCGGATGGGAGTGGTACATGGGAGACAGTGGAATGAGGATTTACCTATACTTTTTTGAACCTACAAATGTATTAATTATTCAAAAAGCTAAGTTAAAAAGTGTTACTAAAGCAAATATAGCATCATTAAGATTTGTCAAATCTAGAAGACAACTAGGGAGTGCTGGCAACATTATTCTACATTTCTGTACCTTGAAATACTTTATTAGAATTTTAAAAGAGTGGATCAAAATTTCCATTCCACATGCCCAAAGTTGTGTTTGCAAATGTGTCCCTGTGCCACATTTTCCTTTATGTAATGGTGTTCTTTCTATACATGCAGTATAATATATATTATTATTAAGCAATTGACAAAATTAACATTAATTTGAGAAATACGTCAGCTTCAATAGTCTGAATTGTTGAGGCAAGAGACATTCTTTTATCTAATAAAATAAATGTAAAACCACTCTGAGAAGTTAAAAAGTTATATGCCCTCCCCATCCCCACCCCAGGCCCCCAAAACAAACAGCAGACACTCTGAGGGTTTGCCTCTCAGTTCTATCATTTATTAATTGGTGACCTTTGAGTATGCTTCAGTTTCCTCATTAATAATAGTACCTACTTCATAAAGTTGTGAGGAGGTATAAAAGATAGTACTTAATAAATTATTATAAATATAACAAATTAAGTAATTATTAAGTACTATCTTAATAAATAATGAGTAAATTATTTATTGTTAATAAACAATAGATAATGTTATTTGATTATCCATATGATTTTTAGAATGTTTGACTCTTATAGAAAATTTGAAGATTTTAAGTATTTGTGAAATATATTTTTCTTAGCAATTTCACCAGAGATATAAAAGATAGCTTTCGTATAGACTGTGTAATTAAAATTCCCTTAAAACAGTTTAATGTTTTAAAAAGTGAATAGTGTTAAAGAAAAAAAAAAGACTATTAAAAGACCAAAAATTGAGTATAGAATGTCAAAGTTTTTCTGGCAAGCAGGAAACCCAGTCCACCACAAATCTATTATAGATAGGTTCTCAGAGATGAGGTTTGGAAGAAGAGAAATGGGTACATTTTTCAAGAACAAAAGACCACCAACTGTCTCTATCCCATATTAAAAAACAAAGTCAGCCAGGCACAGGGACTCAGGCCTTTAATCCTAGCACTTTGGGAGGCCAGGACACAAGGATCACTTGAGGTCAGGAGTTTGAGACCAGCTTGGACAACATAGCAAGATCCAATCTCTATAAAAAATAGAAAAATTAGCCAGACATGGTGGTGCTTGCCTATTATCCCAGATCCTTGAGAGTCTAAGACAGGAGGATCGCTTGAGCCCAGGAGTTTGAGGTTGCAGTGAGCTAGGACAATGCCACTGTACTCTAACCCAGCCAACAGAGTGAGATCCTGTCTCAAAAAAAAAATAAAAGAGAGAGAGAGAGAGAGAGAGAGAGAAAGGAAAAGAAAAGAAAAAGGAAGGGAGGGAGGGTAAAGAAAAAGGAAAGAATGAAAGAAAAGAGTAGGGAAAAAAAGCAAAGTCTCTGAGTCTTGTTGATTGCCTAGTGTTATTTGGACTCATCACTTAGGTAAGTGCTGGGTGTGGGTGGCTGGCGATGATGGTCTGCTGTGTACTTGAGAACTCCATCTGAAGATTTATGGTATCTATTTGCCCCTGCCTGGTACAAGACCACCCAGTCAAGTCTGCAGCATTAGCAATCAAGGTGGTCAAGCCAGAATTTATAAGTTAGATCAGTTCAGCTGCAAATAACAGAAAAAAACTTTAAAAGAGAGAGAAATGAACAAAAATAGTAAGATAGAAGTTTATTTTGTCTCTGATGTGCAAGAAGTGCGGAGGTTAGTAAATCCATGATTGATATGGCACTCCGTGGCGTTAGGAATCCAATCTCCCATCTTCTTGCTTTGCCATGGAAGCATTCCATTCTCAACTTCATCTCATTGTCTAAGATGATTTCTAGAGCCCCAACTATATTCCAGTCTGCAGGAAGGAGGAAGAAGAGAAGGGCATGGATCCACATTATAAGAACATTTCCCAGAAGTTGCATACAACTCTGGCTCCCTCCCATTGTTCAGTGCTATGGTTTGGATATGTTTTTTTTTTGTCCCCACCAAAACTCGTGTTGCAATTTGATCCCCAAGGTGGCAGCGTTGGGAGATGGGGCCTAGTGGGAGGTGTTTGCATCTTGGGGACAGATCTCTTATGAATGGATTAGTGCCCTTCTGGCTCTCACAGGAATGCATTAATTCCATTGTTTAAAAGAGTCAGGCTTCCTTGGTTTTGCTCTTTGGTATCCTTTCTCACCCATGATCTCTTTACACATGCTGGCTCCTCTTCCCCTGTCCACCATGAGCGGAAGCAGTCTGAAGTCCTCACCAGATGCAGATGCCCAATCTTGAACTTTCCAGGCACCAGAATCTTGAGCTAAATAACCTCTTTTCTTTAAAAATTACCCAGCCTCAGGCTAGGCACAGTGGCTTACGCCTGTAATCCTAGCACTCTGGGAGGCCGAGGCAGGTGGATTGCTCAAGGTCAGGAGTTCAAAACCAGCCTGAGCAAGAGTGAGACCCCATCTCTACTAAAAATAGAGAGAAATTAATTGGCCAACTAAAACTATATAAAAAAATTAGCCAGGCCTGGTGGCACATGCCTATAGTCCCAGCTACTTGGGAGGCTGAGGCAGGAGGATCGCTTGAGCCCAGGAGTTTGAGGTTGCTGTGAGCTAGGCTAACGCCATGGCACTCTAGCTTGGGCAACAGAGTGAGACTGTCTAAAAAAAAAAAAAAAAAAAAAAAAAAATTACCCAGCCTCAGGTATTCTGTTATAGCAACACAAAACAGACTAAAGTATCTAGAGTGTAATCACATGGCCACACCTAGCTGCAAAGGAGGCTATGAAGGTAGTCTTTAATCTTGGTGGCCATGTGCCCAGTAACAATTCAGGGTTTCTGTAACCATGGGAGAAGGCATGAAAAGATGTTGGGGGACAACTAGCAAATGGCCAAAAATAACAAAATAGAAAAAAAAAATTAAACTAGCATATTAATTTTGCAAATTTACATTTTGGAGTTGTTTCCAAAAATATAAAGACTGTGATAACTAGTATTTTCACAATAATGCCCACAAGCAATTCTCTGCACAAGAAGACTATTTCATCACTGAAAACTGTTTTATACTGTTAAACGAAATTATGAGAGGCCATTGTTTTAGACTGAGCCCCCACACTCAGCCCCAATAGGCTAGACCAAACCAAAGTGGGGTCGCTCTGAACCTGTTCTGGTTCAGGGGGCTGCCTGATTTGCAAATTATTCTTTGCTCAGTTAAACTCTGTTCAGTTTCATTTGTCTAAGGTTTTTCTTTTAACAGATAGCGTCAGAAGTGGGATCCAAAGTAGAGCTTCCAGTGGCCCCGCAGGAGCTTCACTAGTGACCAAGTGAAGTTACCCTCCAGCCCATGCATTCATTCACTGCACTCTTGCAGCTACTGGGGATTGTGGATAAGTTCTCTTTTGGATTCCAAAGGTCTGTGGATTTGTGTTGTGAGCTTTCTAAGTTTATTTGTGCAAATTGTTGATTAAAACTGGGTTCAGAAGTTGTGACAGAAACTAGACTGTGTTGAGGATAGGCTTTGATTCAATAATTAATTGGACTGGATCCAGCTAGAGGCCTCAGATGTCTGGCTGGGTCAGGCAGAAATTGGCAGGAAATAGCAATTACTGCAGGGGGTATGAACTCTGGCTTTCAGAAATTCAAAGAGATTTTTGTGTTCTATCCCCTTGTTTATTTTCTTGTGTACTTAGGTAAGGGAAAATCACTGGCTAAACTGTTTGAGGGGAATCTCAGAGCCAAAGCCAAGCTTCAGTGTAAAAATGGGATCTTTCATTTCCGAAGATCTGAGTACTTCACTTTCCATTCCAGCTATGCCTACCTTAACATGTGCACGGAGACCTCATTACATTGCACTTTGCTTTATTGCATTCTGCAAATATAGCATTTTTTACAAATTGAAGGTTTGTGATAGCTCCGCATTGAACAAGTCTATCGGTGCCATTTTTCCAACAGCATGTGCTCACTTTGTGTTTCTGTCACATTTTGGTAATTCTCACACTGTTTCAGACTTTTTCATTATTATTATATTTGTTGTGATCTGTGATAAGTGATTTTTGATGTTAATTGCTTTGACTCACCACAAAGTATGCCCATATATTGTGGCAAACTTAATCAATAAATGTTGTGTATGTTCTGACTGTGCCGTAGACTGGCTTTCTCCCCATTTCTCTCTCTCCTCACAGGCTTCACTACACCCTGAGACACAACAACATGGCAACTAGGCCAATTGAGAGCCCTACAGGGTCCTTTAAGTGTTCAAGTGAAAGGAAGAGTCACGTGTCTCTCACTTTAAATCAGAAGCTAGGAATGATTAAGCTTGGAGAGAAAGGCATGTTAAAAGGTAGGCCTCTTGCATCAAACAGTTGGTGAAGCTGTGACTGCAAAGGGAAAGTTCTTGAAGGAAATAAAAAGTGCTACTCCAGCGAATACTTCTTTTTTTTTTTTTTTGAGACAGAGTCTCACTCTGTTGCCCTGGCTAGAGTTGCATGGCATCAGCCTAGCTCACAGCAACCTCAAACTCCTGGGTTCAAGCAAGCCTTCTATCTACCTCAGCCTCCCAAGTAGCTGGGAATACAGGCATGTGCCACCACACCTGGCTAATTTTTCTATTTTTAATAGAGATGGGGGTCTCACTCTTGCTCAGGCTGGTCCCAAACTCCTGAGCTCAAGGGATCCTCCTGCCTTGGCCTCCCAGAGTGCTAGAATTACAAGCCTGAGCCACCGAGCCTG